CCCAATTTTGGGTCCCCCTTATGGGGGGCGGGAAGGGGGGGGTTTGTTGGGGGTCACCCCAATTCCTGGGTGCCCCCCTGTGGTTCCCTTCTCGACCACTGGGGGGCAGCAGAGCCCCTGCGGGAGCGCCCTATAGGGGCCCGTTGGGGTCTATAGGGGCCTATAGGGACCTATAGAGGGGTTGTAGAGACCTATAGGATCCCCCAGGACTTATAGGATCTATAGGAGTCTATCGGGGGGGATTATAGGGACTTAAAGGAGCCCACGGGTGAGTTTATAGGGGTCTATAGGGGGTTTTATAGGATCTGTAAGAGCCTTTAGGGACCTATAGAGGGATTGTAGAGACCTATAGGAGCCCCCAGGACTTATAGGATCTATAGGAGTCTGGGCGGGGGGGGTATAGGGACTTAAGGGAGCCCACGGGAGAGTTTATAGGGACCTATAGAGGGATTGTAGAGACCTATAGAATCCCCCAGGATTTATAGGATCTATAGGAGGTGGTGGTGGGGGGGTGTTATAGAGACTTAAAGGAGCCCATAGAAGAGTTTATAGGGGCCTATAGGAGCCTTTAGGGGATTATAGAGCCTTATAGGATGGCCCAGGACTTAATAGGATCTATAGGTGTCCTTATAGGATTTATAGGGGTCTGTTGGGGGGGGTAGGAGGGGTTTTAGGGACTTAAAGGAGCCCATAGGAGAATTTAGAGGGGCTTATAGGAGCCTTTAGGAGCCTATAGAGGGATTATAGAGACCTATAGGAACCCTCAGGACTTACAGGATCTATAGGAGTCTATTGGGGGGGGTTACAGGGATTTAAAGGAGGCCATAGGGGAGTTTATAGGGGCCTATAGGGGGGTTTCTAAGGCCTATAGGAGCCCATAAGGAGGTTTATAGGAGCCTGTACGGAATCTATAGGAGCTCATGGCAGGGGTTTTAGGGTTCTATAGGAGCCCAGAAAGGGTTTATAGAGGGCTATAGGAGCCATAGGGAAGCTTATAGGGTCTATAGAATGGTTTATAGGAGTCTATAGAAACTCATAAGAAATCTATAGGGGATCTGGAGGGAGCTACAAGAGGTCTATGGGGCATTTAAAGGGGTACATGGGGCCACAGGGGATATAAAGGGGGCTATAGGGGTCTGTAGAGAATCTATAGGAGTCTGGGTGGGGTTTATAGGAGGCTATAAGGGTCTATAGGAGCACGGCAGCGTTCTATAGGTGTCTACAGGGATGTATAGGGGCCTGTAGGAGACCTTGGAGGGGCTCAAGGGGGAGTCAAGGGCCGTCTATAGGGTCCCCTGGGAAGTTTTAGAGGGGCTATAGGGGACCCTCAGGGCCACTATGGGCACCTATAGGGGCTCTGGGGGGATCTATAGGGGCTCTGGGGGGATCTATAGGGGTTCTCGGGGGATCTATAGGGGCTCTGGGGGGATCTATAGGGCCCCTGTGGGCAGCATCGGGACCCTATAGGGGTTACTT